TTTGCCTGTCGTGTATGCTGCCACTAATCATTAAACTTAATTAATTTTATAAATATAATCTACATAAAATTGCTTTTTTTTTAAATTCATTAGATAAAAATGTTAATGATTAAAAAAAAAAAAATTTAAACAACTATTTATGGATAGGTTAAGATTTGAAATAAGTAAACTAAAATCGATATACATAATATGATAAATTTACTTTTTACAAATTTTAATACTGGAATTATATCACAAAAAATATGTTTGTTTTTAATAAATTATTATTATAGTTTACCTACTCTATTTTATTAGATTTATTTTTGAAATTTTAAAAATACATTTTTATTATATCCAAAGTTTTCAAGTATATTCACTATCAGGGAGATATTTTTTCATAGTATATTTATGATGTATTTAGATATATACAGATTTTTATTGTTGATTATTTTTTTTCATAAATTATTTCTTTATTTTTGGAAACTTCTATAATAAAAATAACTTTGCTGGATAATAGACTTTTTCTAAGAAATGTTGATAAATTTAATTTTTATGCTTATAATTTGGACGTTGTGTTGATTTAATGTTTTGAGTGTTTTATACTAAAACCCTTTTGAGTTATAAAATTTCAAGATAATAATAATTTAGGTAATTCTAGTAGTACAAAACAATGAAAACATTGTCAAGGCGTGTCGGCCATTAAAGTTATTTCCTTAGTAGCAAGAAAATATATAATAAAATAAAATTTGTAATAGACATGGCATACAACGTGTAATAGATTCACAAATTTTCGAATATACTGGTACCTAAAGATACAAGTATATATTGGTACCTTATTATATAACAATATACATTGAAATATATCTTGTTTACGCTGTTTATTTTATAAAATATATAATTTATACATTATTTTGTATGTATTATTAGTACTCTTGCAAAGTTTTTAATTTTAAAACGGCGAATTCCCAAACATTAAAATATACAGTACTTTTTTCATTTCTTAATATTAATTGCTTTTGTCAAATGTTTGTAATTTTTATAGTTTCAACAAATGATACTTAAAAATAAAATAGGCTGATAAATGAAACTCAACTGAAAAAACGTTTCATTCAGGTATAGTAATATAAAAAATAAATTTAATTTGACAGTCTTGTAGCTATTTTGCCTATCTAACTTGCCGGATATATTTTAATGAAATGTGTAACACAGGACAAAAGCTTTTAGTTTTTTTCATTATTCATTGCATAATAAATAATGAAATTGTCATACGTAAAATCTAAATACATCAAGTATAAATCATTGAAAAATATATAAGATTGTATTATACCATTACTTTAATTACTTAAAAATAAAACAAACTGTAAAATAGTATACAAATTATAGCCAGTATATTTTGTATTCATTTTCAAAATTGTAGTTAAATTTTGTATTATTTTGATTACTTTATTTGATTGTGAGTAGTGAACAATTTGTATGGTTTGATTTATTATTACTATAGACACATGTAAATTTTTAATATGTTCAGTTTTTTAGCTACACGTGATGGTTTTCCCACTATTTGTATTAGCATTCAAAATTCTCTAAAAGTATCATGTGACAACATGTAATGTAATGAATATACTTTGGAGATAATTTAAAAGAGTCATTCGAGTTTTATTTAAATTTTAAACTAAAAAAGAGTAACATTTTTTAAAACTTAATTACATTATTTATGAAATTGACATTCCCAGAAAATTTAATTACATGAACTTTTATTTAAAAATATATTTTATAAAATCTATACTCGTGTTATAAATAGCAGAATAATACAATGTTATTCTAAACTTTATTAAAAATTAACAGAATATCATTAAAACGCTGGGTTAGTTTAAATGAAAACAATGAATGTTATTAAAAACAGAAATGACATTTCTATAATAAAAAAGTAAAGAGTGCAATAAATTATTTTTTTATAAAATCTCCAGATTAAAAATGATTTCAATAATATTTTATTTTATTAACCAGCGAGAGCGTAATTTAGTTTGACACTTTTTTTTTTGTTCATCGCTTGTATAATAACATTACAGAATGGGATTATACTATACTGTTTTTTTTTTGTAATATCACCATTTATAATGACATTTGATGAATTATTGTTGTTAAAATATCTGTTATTGCCTATTTTTTTAATAAAAATGCTGTTCATTAAGTTTTTTTAAATTTTTTACCTCATTAAAAAAAAGAACGATTATTGACTTCAAAAAAAAATAAAAGATATGAGAGTATATGATTTAAAATTCTTATGTTAAAATATACTAAAAAAGTCATATAATTTTATAACAATCATTCAGAATTGGAGTTAAAAAAATATTTAATTATAATGATATCAACTCATCATTCTAGTTAATACAACCATTGTGATTATTATTTATTAATAATGATAAGTTATAGTCTGGACTATAACTATAGACTATATATACTTCAGTCGTCTATTGCAAAAATCCCTTTAAGTAAAAAAAAAATTATACATTTATTTCGAGTTCAATGTATTAGCGTTCATGCGAATCCGATAAATTGAATGACACCCAAAAGAAGTACATTGAAAGTAAATGCATACAGGAGGAGAGAAATAGAGGACGCTAAAAGGGAATGTGGTTTTTAATCAAATCACGACTCCGTAATAATTTCCATATGAATGTATGATCGTGGAGACGTGGCGTTTGGCGTACCTATCTTCCAAGGATTTTGTTGAATATCCATCCCCTCTTATTGGACTGGTGTACAGGAAATTACTTTTTAATAGGGCGCTAATGCGATTTCGTAAAATCAGCTTTAGTTAGGGTGGATTTACATTAAAAAAACTGTTTTAAAATGCTTTTGCACCTCAGTCGAACCATACGTAGAGAATAAATCATCATCCCTCAGTCTCAATCCCTGTTTGGGGTCTACCTTACATTGATTTTACAAGATTTTTACACTGGCTGTCGACCTACGCAACCTTATTATGGCTGAGAGAATCAGTAAAAGGGTAGGATGTATATCACTGTTAAAGTTTTCCTATTCGTATTAAAATATATGACAACATTTGTAAAAAATAAATGTTAAACAATATGATTTTCGGCTTAAATGGACATACGTTTAGCTTCGTTGCAAAATTGAGAAGTTATTGAATTTATGTGATTTTTCTAAAAATTCTTAGTTCTAACTACACTAATTTTAATGATCCATATGTCAAAAGAACACAACATTAATCTAGTTGAACCGAACAGCACCAAAACTTTGAAAAACCCCTCATTTATAGGAATTAAAAAAAATATCTCAAATTTCGCTACCCTAAAAAGGATATTTTCATAAAAATTTTTTTACATTTTAAAACTTATGCAACTTTATTTTCTTAAATATTGATTTAAATAATATTTCGATAGAGAATATCAGAGACGATAAGCTTTATTTTGGTATGCTTTTTCTGAAAATTCGATATAAAACCTAAATACAGGGAGGGTTTGAAAAAGAAACCCACGTATGCCAAAATTTATTTTTCGTCTCAATTTTTGAAAATGCTTTGGAAAGTCAGACATTTTCTAACCTATATCAAATTAAATATTTTAAAATGTACTACAACATCAAAAAAGAAAACTTGTCCAAACGATTGTTTTACTATGTTATATTGGTCGTCAAAGAAAAAAAAAGTGACTTTCAATTAAGCAAATAATTTAACAAGCATTCGAGTCAAATTGTAAAATTAAAAATATAAAAGTTTTAAAATTTAACTGATTTGCACTGAAGTGTTTTTTTATTATAGTGATGCTAATGACTGTCAGATATCATCTATACTTCTGTGCTGTTTTTTTTCTTCTGTGCATCCATAGAAGAACTAGTCGTGAAGCATTACTTATCCGGGTCAACGTTTATTTTAAAATAACAAAACTTTATAACTACTACATTAATGACTTAATTTTAATCCTATATCGGTACTATAAACACTCACTCTGTATAAAATGTATAGTCATTCCAACATAAAATCAATAGATAAAAGAAATAATAACTTTAAAATGTCTTCAACGAAATCAGAATAATTTTTCTAATTAAACAAATACATTTTCATGTTTCTCTTTTAGATGATAAACAGAGTAATTAATTATAATAAAATAATCTTATGAATAATCTCTAGACGTATATTTAGATAGAAAACTTAAAATGTATACAGCTATTAACAAAATTATATCTCATATATACCGGCGGTACTGTCATGATTAGATGGGATGTTTGTGTTGTCAAATTTGATGGACATGGTCGCTTTGAATGGAATTATACAGTAAACATTCGTACAATAATAGTTTTCTGGATTCTGAGAGGGTACGATGTTTTAGAGCGGGAAGCCATTTGGGTGTTTAGAACATGAAAGGACTGAAATGAACAATTGGATCTGCTATTGTCATTGTAACCACCGTTCTCAACAGCACCAACCACAGCAACCGTATTTTCGCGTAGATTGGTATATTTTATCAAATTGATTAACGCTGCAGAACTGACACAATTGTTGTTACCAAGCTTTCATTTCATTTTGAATATACCAAAACTAGACAATCTGCAGGTAATACAATGTTGCTGTTGAAGTGAAATCGACCGATTTTTATTTGATATCATTTTTTTGGTCTTTAATAGTTAATTCATTAATTAATGTCGTGTTTAATTTGACTCAATAAATATTAAACAGCAAAACAATGTTTGTTTTGAAGTATAAGCGGTTAAAAATATTTATGCTTATATCAAATCATGAAAATAAACAAAGTCAAGTTTAGTAATTTAAAATGTGTAATCCTGAAATATTTTAATAACTGTATTTATTAAACTAAAAAATAAATAAATTTGTAAATTATAAATCATTAATTTGTTACAGTTTTAATACACTACAAAAAAAAAATAATAATAACAATAATAATAATTTGGCTCAGTAAAACGTAATTTGTAACAGCATTGTTTATTAAATGATCAAAAAAAGCACAAATTAAATTATAATAATATAAAATTTTAATTGAATGTATTATTAATTTGGTTTCTACTAATAAGTATCTTTTTACTTTAAATTTATTATTTTTAATCAATTATATTTTATTACATCTCGAAGAGTTATTTGAAAAATATAATTTTATTAACTACATTTAATTTTAATTCTTGACGCGTATCTAATGTAATTTGATTATAAAACAGTATATTTTAATTTCACTTTTCATAAAATGTCATTTTGAAAATTTTGTTTAATAATTATTTACATATAGTTAAATAATATGAAAAATATAATGATAGTTAATTTTAGTTATCCATATAATATTCACATTGATATATATTTTTTTACACCAAATAGTAATTTATTAGTGTGGTTTAACAACTTTAGTTGTTGGTGGAGGAATTTTTGAAAACCCAGCTGAATCAAATACTGGTAACAGATCACGTATACGGTGTCCACTTGTCGAAGCTAAATCCATTAATCGGCTAAAAAATAAAATTCGATTATTATTGAAACGTTTTCCTTTATCGATGAAAATATATTAGTTATTATGCAGTACCATGAACAGTAAGTAATGACGTGGATGTATAAATTGGATGAATAAATCAGATTTACAATACAACATATAAAATAGACGAATTATACTGATTTGAAGTTATCCTTTGTTTCAATATACATTATTATAATACATATTATATATATTGTATATTGTATTACAATATTAATTAAAGACAATTGTTAAAATAATGAATTTAAAAAAAAAATAATTATAAAATTAAGCTTTGTCTAGTCAAATTTTTCTTATAAGAAAATAATTATATTTTACTAGGATTAGGTTCATATCGAGAACATTATATCACTTCCTTTCAGTATTTAATTGTATTAAACGGCTATATCTCAATAAATAAAATTGTTACCAAAAAACGTTAGTTAAAAAAATAATTTAGCCTGTAAGAATAATTTTTTCTCCTCCCAATATTTTTGTTTGTGCGCGACCCTGATTATGGAAGATTAATTAAAAATAAAAATTATGAATAATAATTTATTGTTATTCTTTATTTATCAGTCCAAATTACCATTTACTTTGTAACTGCTTTATTTATATAAAAACATATTTTACTCGTGAAAATCAAAATTATCTTTATCGAGAAAATCCTTTATTATTTTTTAATTAAGCTCCTTTATAAATTAAATTACCCTTCACAATAAAAATGTTGCAATCCCTTTTCCATTGTTTTGTGGAAACATAATTTTAATTAAGAAATATACAAAATATGTATTTTGTGTATACCTGTTGATTGTTGCAGCAGGTTTCTTTTTTAAAATGCTGGGTGAAGCCGCTTCTACGGGAAAAAACGTGGCTCCATAGAAATCTAATCCGTTGTGCAAAAGCAAGTTGTACTCTTCCAAAGAAGCTAACGTAATACGTACTACGGGTGAGGTTACAGGGTGTTGCGTCACTGGTCCAAGTTGATCAACAGCTTGTTGAGATGGGGCAGTAGATCCTCCTTTGTCCGCCTGACGGAAGCCTGAAATATGAGCATGGCAGCAGAATACAGCCAATATTAAAACAAAATAATTTATTTTCTATGTTTCGGTAGTAATACAAAATTAAAATCGTTTGCTATTGGCTTCGTGAGTTTTCTAAAACAATTAAGAAATTGTTTCAATGAAACCGCAAAAGTTGTTCACTTTTTGTTGGTTCTTTTGAATTTTGAAAGTTAATTTAATCAAGGTTATGTTTAAATATCATTAGAGATTACAAAAGCGAACATTATGTAATACTTTGTACACAAAAAAACTTTAGTTAAGTCAAAGCTTATTCGGTGCCTTTATAATTATAAATAAACAAATAGTAATTACCCAGAGAAAAAAAAACACTTAACAAAGTTTCTTATTGGCAAATGAACTGAAATGCTTATTAAGGTAACTCAATAATTCTGTTTATAACACATCTATTAAGATTTTCTACTAAAAAATAAAAGGTACTTTTAAATTTAAATAACGAACCTTAATAATTTTGTCCGTATATCTGTAAATATATTTAACTAATGAGTCGGGTATTATAAGCTTTAGTGTATTCCCCGTTGATAATTAACACCGTTACGTGCAGAGATGTTTGTGAAACGAAAGCTTTTAAAATATTAGAGTTCTTCTTTTATTTAAATAAATCGAATTATAGCTCTTCATGGTATTTCAAATACGGTTTTAGAGATACAGCTCGGCGCGTTTAATGTTCATGAGGGCGATCGAATGCCGAAGACGCATGTTTTCGATGAGAAACGAACAAGACAAACTTATGGCGCCGAATGTAATTAAAACGACAACCCACGTTATTACTTTAGTGGATGAGAAAGAACGATCATTCGCGTGAACTGTAATAATAACGAAGATGGAGAAAAAGTGTCATTGTAAATTTGATCAAAAATATGTACTGTCCGTTACTGTGATGATCCGATTGATTTTTTTTCTTAAATTCTTTAACTAAAACGTATAATTATGAATATTTTTTTACTATAGCCGATTCAACTATCTCAGCACTTACGATTTCTTTCGACCTCATTCGATAAAATAGTACAAATGAAAGCTCAATACAAATATTAAATAAATCTTACTAGTTCGTTGTTGTTTTTAATTAGGACAACTACCGGGAAACTGTTTCCCAACTACTTCATTCCCTTTTATTGTTAAGTTTTCGTTATTGATTATTTCATTTTCTCCTGTCACTTAACTCCTATATTTTCTACTTTCTATACTCGAGTTTCAAATAATAAACAAAGTAAAATGCATCCTCGAACTGAGTATTTTTATTACTATTTTAAGTAATAAACATGTTTAGTATTTCAATATTCCATAAAAGTAAAATGTATAAAAAAAAGTCCTTGATCTAAATAACTTTTTAACATTTTATTACAATTTTTTTACTGTGTAGTAAATAACATCAGGTTTGCTTCAATAATAGTATTATTAATGGGTAGCTATTATTATTATTATTATAAATTTTTGAGTTATTCATGTATACAGTGTGGAATAAATCTAACTGACAACTATAGCTGTTGATACATTTAACATTTCATTTTTTTTTTTTAATCATTCATGCTACTTAGATTACTTTAAAATCCTATTTTTGATAATTTGTTTTTAAAAAATTGTCTTTTTTTTATTTAAAATTTAAAAAATATTAAAATAGTTTATAACATTTTTTTTATTAAAAATCATTAATGGGTCAATAACATTTTTAAGGCCAGTAATTATTGAGTTACAAGCATTTTAATACATTGAGTAGGTATGAAATGCGGATGGAGTATGCGTTAAATTTACACCAGTATGATCTGGTAGAGGATAAATGAGGCCAAAAAGTACCTAATGATAGAAATAGCAGTACCCGCGTTATTGTTATTGCAGCCATTACTTTGATATGTCTTAATTAGATAATTATCTAAATTATTGTTTAGATAATTATATATGTTAAAAAAAAAAATGAAGTTCATACCCTTATAAGGTATAAGGATGAACATAAAAATACTTCCAAGTTGATAAATTAAGAAAAGTATATAACAAAAAAAAATTATCAAAATGATATTTATTTTTCGATTAAATAAGTGGTTCATGATAAAAGAGTCATCCTTTATATTTATTACTGTACATTATTTCTTTATAGAGAATGCTGACGAAATCATATTATGTCGAAAGTATCCAGTCAAGTTATAAGTGTTTGAAAATTGAAGTTATAAAAGTGGGAATTCGCTGAAAGAGCAAAATGTGGTAAGTTTTGGGTGCAGATAAAAATACAGTACTATGTCCTGATACTCCCTGCTGAATTTCTATTTCGATTCTCAATCATGTCCTTTATTACATATAAATATAATACACTTTAGCATTACAACAGTTCAATAGCCAATATTGTGCAAAATCTACACACACAAATATATTCTTCACTTATTTTTATTTTAAAGTAAATTTCAAATATTACGTTTTTACAAATAATAAATAGGCGTAAACGTAGTTAATTATTTATGATATTTTTTAATATGTTTTGAACTGTATTATTGGCACATTGTTGCATTTTTAATGCATATTGTTCTTCTAAAATTAATTTATAATTAAAGGATGATTTAAAAGTAAATGTATAATTTGTTACAAGTTAATGAAATATTTATCGAATTCGCGTGGCTGGTATAAAGTTTTTCCCGAAACTTTATAAGCTTAGCTTTTAATTTAAATTTATGCTCTCTTTTTGTTGAATAGTTGTCCAACTTAAGCTTTTTCTTTGCAAGATTAAATGCATTATAACATCAACATGTGCAAAGACTCTCTTACTCGACGCAGTATATTATAATTTATTATATATATACAGTGACAATACAAATAGTGCTTAAATAATTAATTTGTGTGACGTGATAATGTATATAGATATATACAGTTATCATTTAGTTTTGGAGAAATTCGTCGAAAGAAAATATAAAGCAAGGGATGATAACAGATATATATATATATATCGCAGTTAATATCTCGGATAAAAAAGGGACAGAAAAAGCAATAACTTGATTATTGACTTAGTGTACATTTTTGCTCTGGTAATATTATGCATTGCTGTGTTCGTTGACTAGCTAATAACAACGACAGGAAAACATCGTTCATTATCGTAACTGTTTTACTTTAACCCGTCGCCTACACTACTTTTTGTATTCAAACGACCTTGTCGTCCATAGTGATCGTGTTCGGTATACTCAAAAAAAAGCATAGCTCACTACTACAGCTAAGGCTGTTTGTTCGGAATGGCGTTTGCAAAGGCTTGAGGGGTGAAAACTCATCGGCCGGGCTGACGTTAAGACTGCGGAAAAGGTCACGAACGTTAAGGGAATTCTATATTAGACTGGGTGGTCGTTAGCTATACGGAACGCGTTTAAACAAATGATTCAGCCAGTGGACTCGGTGACACCAATGTAAAATGTGTACGTTCGAGTCTCCCTATGTTTTTCATTTTCTTATTCAAATTTTTCTCTTCTATCGATAAAACGTAACGTATTTTAATATAATATTTCAGACGATCATCATGGTTTTGCTATCCCGTTTTGAAACTTAATTTAGTAACTGCTGTTGTCTTATTAAAGACACCAACGAAGTAATGTGCGGTAAATACATACTAATCTATTTAGTTAAACTTTATATCAACTAGTGACAGCAGTAACAGTAGTCGTGGTAATTTTACAAAGTGCTGAACTTAGCATGTATGCAAGCCGCAGTATTAAGGTGTATATGTGTATCGTTCATGTTGAAGGTATTAGTAGCATACTATACCTTACTGGAGTTCGCTCTCAAAGCACCAAGTGGTTTCCCCCACTTATTACCTAGTTACCCCTCATCGACGACCATCGTGACGTGATAAATGATGTAACCAACAATGAGAACAAACCAACTACATTAAATAAATCAACCCTCACCTTCTGTGTTCTCTTTAGACTTATTGTGGTCGACATGGAAGAATGAAAGGCGAGCGGAGTACAAAAACGCGAGCTTTCTTGCCGGTGGCGTCCGACTCTAGAGAAATAGATTGGGATGGTAAAAAAATAAGGAGAGACAAAGAAAAACAAGCGCATAACACGCGCTGTAATATTTTATCGTTGGTGTATAATAATAACCACGTTATGCATAACACGGAAACATTTGTACTACTACTTTTGTGCTGATAAAACAACAGAGAAAAAAAATGAAACGCTGCTTTAATACAAATGAATTTGATTTTGGGGGTGTGTTCTCAGTATTCATTTTTCATTTTCACTAGCGTTTTTTTAGTTCATTTCAAACTCCCGGAGTAAAAAAAAAAATATCATCGACAAACCGAACATAAAAAATTTTCTTGATAAAGTCTTATATAATAAGATTTTGATAAAATTTCAATATATATCAAAAGTGGAATAAGAGAATTTTTTTTTATATATAAAATTGAGGTTATGAAATTATTCGCTTAAAATTAAGTCATACATAGGTTTTAATTTCTAACGAAAATATACATCTTACATATTTATAATTAGTCGTATATTTTTATACATTTTACAGCTATGAATTTAGTTTAATCTTTTTGTCAGAAAATTATTCATCATATGAATAATTTTTATATAGGGTTATTAGCCTTTTATACATTGGACATGATCTTTAAATAAATACATTTTATGACAAATATATATAATTAAAATGTAAAAAATTACTATTTAACGTTTTAAAAACTATATATAGATAAATCTTATTATACAATAAATAGCATTTAAACAGAGTGTTAAACATTCCCATTATTTTAATCATTTTATAGCTTCAATGCGAAACTGAGAAGGAATTAACTTTTTTTTTTAGTATTTTATTAAATTATTTATCATGATTGAAAAATAAGAAAAAAAAACATTTTGTTTTATTTTAATATCATCACGTACAACTCTATTTAGTTAACATAACAGTTAAGTTTAAAATTAATAGATTTATTCGCTTAAATATTATTTTCTTTTGTAATTTTTATTATGACTCTTGATAAACCATTACGATAAATAAAATAAAATAATGTAATTTTTATAAAGACATCGTAGCAAGTTATGGGAAGGGTTTGGAGAGGTTTAGCCTCAAAAATTCAAAATTGAATACTGTGAAATTCCAGAAAAATTACACTTATAATCATATAATAAAAATTTAGAGAGGCGCATTTACACATGATATGCTCCTCCAATTTTTTTTTTTTTATTGAGCCAATGTTTAAAGAAAAATCTAAAACAATAACGTTTTCTTAAATCCGTAAAAATTGATTCAATATTACTGCTTTTGTCATATTTTCTATATAGTTTTTACGTTCACAATTTGTATACAAAATGTCCTAAATACACAAATTCTGTTTGTTCATGAACTAATTTATTATTCCTTTAATCCTATTTTAAATATGTCACATAAAGAAAAACAACATGAAAACATACACATTTGATACTATAATACTCAATCAATCATTATAAGTATACAGAGGTTCATTCATAGTAGTTTTTAATAAATTCTACAAATAGAAAATACCCTTTTTAATAATTAACAAGCTTTGCTTATATTACTGAAAATATTCGTTTATAACTTTTTTTGTACTTCACAAATATGGAATTTTCACTTGAAAAAATTTATACGTTATAAATATTATGTAAATATATTCATAATATATTTATGAAAATCAAAAGTTCATATTTAGTTCACCGCATTCGATATAACCTAATATTTAATTATATACTTATCTGAACGGTTTCTCAATTTATCTGCGTGTGTTAATTGATAATTTGATATTAAAACACTTAAAAAAATTTATTTACAGTATGGGAATATATTTTAGGGTTGTATCATTTTTAAATGAGATCATCACTGAGTGTTTATTTTTATTGTATTTTTACTTATATATTAATAATATAACTCCCTCTCCTTACCATTAAAATGTTTCAAGTAAAATAACAATTTTTCTATAGCTGAAGTATCTATTATATTTAATATAAGCACTTATTATTATGTAGTTCAATATATACATTTTATATTGATATTAAACATTGAGAAATAAAAAATCTACTATTCATTCTTGAGTATATTCAAAATATAATTTTAAACTATAAAATTTTATGACTTTTTACAATTTACTAATACTCGATGTTCACTAATCATGTACAAATGCCTATATTTAAAAATTCAAATTTAAATAAACGCAACACAAAGGTTGCATGAGCGTTATTTTTATCTGCGGGTAATGTAATAGGAGCTAGTAAACATTTTAGAGAATTATACTAGGAACATACAGTGCACGCGCCTTAAACCAATATTGCGAGGGAGGAAAATCCTATTCGCCTAATCCAACACCCGCTGTGCACTGCGATCGCCGCTGGACACAATGGATTTACTGAGTATAGTTTTCCACTGTATTTTATTTTACCCTTCCCATCACTCCTCTACTCTTCTACCACGAGAGAATAATAGAGAGAAAAATATATTCAAATACAACTACCAATATTTTACATTTAACGATCGTGATGGAAGAGGACGTTATCCGAGATACAACCCGACATAAATTTTTATACATTAACCAGTATACGATTTGGTTGTATCATCCAGCTAAAGGATATGGAAAATTTCTTTATTATTCAGAAGAAAAGAATATGCTAAACTTGGCTGTTCCAACTTTTTGCCTAGATCAACTTACAAGTCCGAATATTTTGAATTACTTTAACAATAATTGTTTAAGTAGATATACACAACTATTATGCATATCCAGCAAATAAATAAATTGTTTTGCTATATTACCAGTGTTGTAGAGTCTTGTAACTTCAACAACTGTTTGAAATTTATAAAGGGAGTGTCTAATGTCTTCATCTGGTAAATCTTCGGGTATTTCGTACACGAAAACGGAAAATGTTTTTTGAGGTCTGCATGGTATTGGAATCTGTAAAATAAATTTTTCAATAATTCAGTGTAATTCAATTTTTTTTAAATTTATTAAAGGCGTTTTAGCATAATTTGTTACAGGTACTAATTAAGGTGCTTTAATAAGAGTTTTTCAATCTAGATTTTTTTGTAAAGTGATTTAAGATATTATTTCAACGAAATATTGAAAAATATCAACCATGTATTTTATAGTTATTTTTTTTAAACGAATATCGTTAGATCTTAAGTAAATAAAAAGTAAAAGATGAAAATGTATGTTTTAATCTTAAATTTTTGCCCAAAATTAAGAAGTATATGATTAATTGACTACTCTTAAAATAAAAAAAAGACGAATTCATTAATGGAACGTAGAGTGAAAAACCTTTTCTCTTTAACGATGATTTGGTGGTATTATAGTGTCCTATAACATACTATAATAAACTCGTTACGATTAAAAAAGGGTAATGAACAATTTTGGTTAGATTGGAAGTACAGAAAAAAAAAGTTTGATGTAAAAGGCAGATATTTTTTTCATGTGAATTAGGACTTGACGCGAAAAAATAAAAGAAACACAAACAAAAAAACTTAGGGGAAGTGTGATTGTAAAATGTTTGGGGTAGATACTTTAAAGATGAGAGGGGATATTGTACGTTGCCATTAATCATTTTACCGAATTATCCAGCGACATATTTATATATTTCCATGACCGTTATGCATCGCTTATTTTTAGTAATTTGTCATTTCTAAAATATTGCTATTTTTACACAAATTATACATTTTTAAAACTAAAAATACTATTCTGCTTAAAACTTTTTGGAGATTCAGCACCAAAAATGTTTTTTTTTAACTAATAAATTTTACCATGAATTAAGGAAAACGAATTTGNAAAAAATGTTTTTTTTTTCACTAATAAATTTTACCATGAATTAAGGAAAACGAATTTGAACTCGTTTCTTTAAGTTTTTAAAATATATTAATTAATATATTTNCAAAAATGTTTTTTTTTAACTAATAAATTTTACCATGAATTAAGGAAAACGAATTTGAACTCGTTTCTTTAAGTTTTTAAAATATATTAATTAATATATTTTAAAGCGACAAGTGTTAAAATATGATTTTGCACAAATAATTAGTATTATTAATAAGTATTTATGAGTGATTTATAATGTGCACATTTATTACCAAATTATTTTTATTATTTGACATTATTTTTGAGAAAATATTTTTATTCTAAATTTTTATTTCAAATAAATTTTATATTCATACAGTTTTTTGTTTTGTTTGTAAATATCATAGTTAATATGATAATTGACGAAAATAGAGGTCTCGTTCTTATAGTTCTATTTTTAACCCTATTGTCACACATGTTAACGTCATTCGATTTCACCCACATTTTATACAACTAATTTTTTTATATAATGGAATAATTCTATGGGAAGTATTGAATGAATTTCAAAACACCATTTTTATGAACCGCTCAACTGTCAGGTGTGTATATATGATAAGTGGCGCGACCCACTCTGGAAATTAATGCAACAATCTAATTATCATTGAAAATAATATTTATAAAGTATTTCAAGTAAAAAAATTTGATCAAATATAATATTTATTACAAAATATTTTTTGAAAATGGCATATATGTCTTGTATTTTACTTCACTTTAAAATATAAAATAAAATATATACTATTTATTCTCAATTATACTTTAACCCATTGAGTCTTTGTTATTACATTCAAAGCGTATAGTTTATGCAGCTAAAAAGGTAAGTAAATAAACAACTAAATTATAAAAATTTTCTTTTTCATTTATTTTTGATTGCTGAAATAAATGATACTCAGGTTTTAAAAAATGTTTTTCCCGAGACACTACCAATGTAGGACAATGTAGAGTATGTAGCTAAAAAAGTTGACCCAATTTACCCATACAAACGAACAGTATACAATTATCAAATAATATTATATAAATGTATATATATATAAATAATTTGGTATTATAATAAATGTACACATTATAAATCATTCATAAATACATATATATATATATATATAGATTGTTACATTTATTAAAACTAATATGTAACAAACAATTTCGAATCTCACTATTCTTTGAATAAGGAATTTAAACGCGATTTTTTATAATACCGAATAAAATTACATTTTAATTGAATATTTCTTCTAAAGTTAATGATATTGATGATGATTGCGCTCAAAATGAAGATGGAGTTGGAATTTATTTTGAAGATATGGAATAAATATGTCTCTTAAATATATTTATTCTTAAATAATAATGTTAATTTTTCCCAAAAAAGTTAAAATAATTTGATTTAAAACATTGTTTAATTGTTTAGTATTCTTAAGTATTAAGAAATAAGAATTTAATATTTGTTTAAATGTACTAATTAAAGTATAGCTATATCAAAACTTATTTCCTCAATTGCATTAAAACGCTTTATCTCCAAGATTGCACCAAACTATGTAAAAACTTAAAAAAAAAAATCAAAGAATTTGATGCATTTTAATCGAGATTTGATTATGAAATAATATCTAGTACTCAAGGTATATAAAATTAAACGCAAATCTCCTTTTCTTGAAAAACTATTATTTTGGCAATAGCACGTTTTGACTTGTCGCACTACTATTAGAGAAATATTGTATTATATTATCTATTTCAATGATCAAATGTATTGAATATCGTGTCACTAACTCTAGTGGCTCTAAAAAAAAAGGTAAACATTAATTAGAAAAATCTATAGTAAACAGGACCAAACAATAGAAGCAATATTAACCTCAGTAAGCCTGGTGAAATATCAATACGGTATGACCCAGAATGGAGTGTACCTACTCGTCAGTACTGTCAACACATGTTGCGGAAATAGACAAAAGTGGGCGAGTGGAAACATTTTCTCAGCCGATAAAATCAATGTTTTTGAACGTTAACGTTCAGTTTTACATAACAAATTTAATATTCTAAAAATTTTTATCACTGTAATGAACATATATGTTCATTACTGTTATTTGGTTAACTCCTATAGTTTTTCAGCTAATAAAAAAGGATTACTAGGTTTTAGAAAAAACAAATCGCTCGTGCATTACCATATTTACAAAATTGTATTAAAATGACACGACGTACTAGCAGCAGTTCATCTAGTATTTTTCATTTGAGGGGAAACTAATAAAAATTATATTAATTTTTTTGCTCACATTTTATCTAAAATGTGTGTAAAACATGATCAAAGGGAAGGAGCTTAGTCTAAACACTTCACTGTGGTATATTATGATATGTATATCATTTTTGTGTTAATATAGTGCAAGAAAATATTTTTTATTCTGATAATACCGATTATTCGGTGCATTAACTAAAATAATATTTTGCTCATTGTCTATTCAACAGCTATTTCCTGTGAAGTTTTATTAAACTTTTTTTTGTAGACGCTTGCTAAAAAAAGTCTAGCAAAGTGTTTTGGAGGATGTATACTCAGAAAGCCGCAACGGGCGTGCTGTGAAAAGTGAATAAACATATAACATTTATCCGATACTTTCAAAGCCACTTTAGTTGTGCAAAAACGTCATTAGTATTTTATGACTTAAAGGCTTCTTTATTAGACACGTACTGCAGCATACAACTTTTTATCGTTTTTTGTATATAAGTTGTGGAGCTCAAATTTATTTGTCATATGATATTGATTTTGTGGTGCATAAGAAATAGATAAAAACATCAGTGATGTTGTGTGCCTAAAATTTAATTCTGTGGTAGAAGAGTTAATACAGTTTTATTTTCACATTTAGTGTTAACAATAATGTGTTTATAAGAATAAAATAATAGATGTTTTTAACTTGTACACCTGTGTTAAATTAAATTTATCTTTTAAAATAAGAATTAACGAATACGAACCAAATAAAAGAAACTTAAAATTATATCTGTTGTGTTATATTGTAATTCAACATATTAGATACCTGAATTATTTCGTTAAAAATAATAATAATAACTACACATATTTTACATAAACTGACTTCATTATTTAAACATGTACACCGGACTATTTCGTATTACAATACATTTATAAATCAAAAATTATACATCAGGAAAACAACACCATAGAATTACGATTGTAGTTATAAAAATTAATACAATTATAAAAAAACTTCTCAAACAAGCAAGAAAACTAACGTCGTCTTTGACAGCCTTTAACCGTTTGGATTGGTTGCTTTGGTATAAACACGAATCGCATTTACCCCAATTGCCAAGATCATCATCGTCTTCATCATTCAATTGTCTTCCGATTCCCATCAAAAATTACACAATGCAATTCATATAATTATTTTTAATAATAAATTACGGTTAAATTATAATTTGAACTCATTATGATATAAATATATTTTTAAAAGTTAAGTTAAAACCTAACAAAAAGATATTGTAAAATAACTAATCAAATTACAAATAGTTTCTAGGAAACAGTTTTTTCTAAACTTTTGAAACACTTTTTGTGATAAAATCATACAAATTAATAAATATTTAAAATTTAGAAAATGTTAAAATAACAATTTAATTTGACTTTTGACAAATAGTCATTTTAGTTTAAAGTCTGAAAAAAAATTTAGTGAACATATTCAACTTAAAATGTAATTTTAACCAGATAGAATTTTTTTTATACATATACTCCAGTCTATATAACTTAGCTACAATATTTTTATTTATTTTTAGTCCTGTTTCTTTTGTTGTAATAACGCATTGTTACAAAGAATATATTTTTTATACTTCCACGCGCATAGCGTGGAATAATATGTTATAAAAATTTAACTAGAGAAAATTTAATTAGATTTTAAAAATATTTTGAAATAGAAGTGAATCTTATTTTTTTTTTCATTTTTACATTATTGCTACTAAAAATACAATTTTATGTTCTAAAACTAATATAGATAAAAGTTTGTGTCATGAAAATTTAATTTTAACAAAAAAATACTACTAACTTTATTGCATAACGATATTAGGTATAGTCTGATTTTAGAGTAATTTAAATTTAAATTTTTAATATTACAACTTCATCAAAAATAAAAATATGTACAGCAATGATCAAAATATAACACAATTTAAAATAAATAAGTAAAATTTCATTAAAAATATTACTACTCAGCTTGTAATTATATTGATGCATATTTATTAATTTTTCTTGTATTTTATAATTAAGAATTACTGTAAATTAAATTAAATCAATGGTACCATAAATCCATATAACATTGTAAACAAAAATATAAATATAGTATAATAAGTATTTTATGTGAGTAAAATTTTATTTTTAACTCGATAATATTTATAGACTTAATAAGATGTTATTTGATTTAATAAATAGTTATTTAAAATGAAAAAAAAACATATATATTCAGAGTGCTTATGGTATAAGCTGCTACTTTGAAATATGCATCAAATTAATCGGTGACTCGGGAATGACCTAAAAGCCTCTCAGGGTCCTCTTGCATGTATAATATATGGTTGTATTAAACCCAAGCACAAAGTTTTTAACGTTCTAACTTCTCAGACCATTTTATTTTATTAACGTTTTGCCTAGACATAAACTTAACATGAGCATAAAAATATTTTTTTGTAGCGGTACTGAATTTTTTTATTTTATCTTAAACATAAATTTATAAATAGAATTAGCGTTCAAAGGGTTCAGTAGGTTAATTTCATAAAAATTGAAATTAATAAGTCGTTAGTCACAACTCGCTCATTTTCGTAAAATTACATATGCACAGTTTTTATATTAGTTTATGTCATTATGTCTGGAAATAATTAATTTACGAAAAAGGCACAAAATATTTAAACACTACAATTATTTTTCAATTAAATTTTCAGTTATAAATTAATATTATCAAAAGGAACATTATAGTTATGTGTGGTAAATTACTACATTATAGGAATTCAGTAACATAAAGTATATGCATAGAGTCAGGCATCGTTAAATACTTAAATTTTAAACACCAAAATACAACTCATTATTTTGGTATCTTACATATTTTTGAAAATATCAAAGATTTATTATATTGGTTGTATTAATTATTTTTAATATTGAAGTCCTAAAAATCTTATTTCCATAATTGTTAAATAGTTTTGCAGTCTACTATCTCGCATTATTTTGGAATTTTTTTTTCAGAAATTGTTGAATTTAAATTGTGAATAAAGTTTTTTTCGTATGATATTGTAAATATTACATTAATTTAAAATTATTTTAGAAGCGTTTTTATAATAATTATAGAAGATGTTTGTAATAATTACAATAAAATTATTTTTTTATTTATTGCAATGAAATTTTAAAAAATATGTATACTTAAAGAGTGATTTAATGAAAACTGCCTATGTGCGGCAGCTGCGCTAATATTTACAATAAACAGGATTGAAATCTTAATAATTATCTTTAAAAATTCTCTTATATTTACTTAAGTTATCATATTTTACACTCTTTCTTAATGTAGTCAACAATTACCCTATTTATTCTAATATTTATTGACTTGACAACAAATTTGTTAAAACATTTAAAAAAGATTTTGACTGGAAACAACAGATCTGTGAAATACGGTACAATTGGTAATATACAAATGGAAATGATCTTACTAAGCAAATTAAATTTCATTGTCAAGCCTAGACTTTTAATTGAATGTGTCATGAGATATTAAAACGTTGATAGAATTAACGAAATTATTATTGGAAACCAGTAGATTATGTGGATTAATCACTGAATTGATTGACAGTATAAAAATAGGTATAAACTTTTAGTAAATTATACTAAAAAAACTACCAAAACTAATATATTTGTTAATTAAATAAATGTTTAATGTATATTAAGGAATATAAAAAAAAAAATAATTATTAAAAAACTAAAATTTTGATTTCATATCATTTTTCTTAATATTTTCGAATGTGTTACGTAACAAAAAAAGCTAAAAGCTTAATTGATCTATAGTGAAGTTGCTTAAAGTTTTGACACTCTTGGAAAAATAATTGTATTTTGAAGTTAAAAGTTTAGTTTTTATTCTTCATATATGTACTTTCATTAGTTATATGAACTAATTTAAACTTTCAAATACGTACATTTTATAAGTTGTCGCGTGTGAAATTATTTCAAGCCAAACCTATGAAGTTTACGTCATTTTTTACTTCTTGAATTATTGTCATTATGCAATAAATTATTACTAATTTTCTAATTTTAATTGTTAATAATAGCCTAGTTATTAATAATTTTTAGTTTTCTCTGTCTGTTAAGTTAAAATATCTTTATATTTTTAAATTTATTTTCAAGCATAAAAAATGAAATGAGAAATGCTTAACGTTGCATGATGTTTAAAAAAATGACGCGACATATTATGATTACAATTTAAAATGCACATATTTAACTCTATAAAAACCAAACTAATCAACATTAAGATTCATAAAAATTAATTTTTTATGCTAATACTTAATGAATATTGTTTCCCTACTATAATACAGTTATTAATTAAAAATGGGTTTGAAATAAATTAAAACTGTTACCTTTTTGTAGAAACGGAAATTGGTAACTTTATGGAAACCTTTCCGGTAAGTTGCTTGGTAGTCTTCTTGATTGGCAAATTTAAATAAAATTCCAGTGGCCGTTTTGGTCACCGAGTACGGTCCTCTGTAGTTCATTTTTTCACATATAGCTGTCGCCTTTTCTAGATTTAATTCATTGCTGGGCGTTATAAGGAATGCGCCCTTTGCTAAGAAGTGACCGCTATCAGAAATTTCAGATGAACCGTCGTCGTCATCTTCATGCAAATTGTGTCGGGGCTTATAACAGTACATCAATTTTTCTACAGGCGACGGCGGTAATTGTTGTTGCTGCATATTTACGTTGGAAGATGTTATTGTATTGGCTGTTGCTGTGTTCATTTTTTCTTGATATTAAACTATCAACCAATGACTATATTAAAAACACTATCACCGGGTATACGTTTCGAGAATTTTTAATCAGACTGTATCTAAGAAGAACTCTTTGAATCGTTTGACGATTCTTATATATTATTATGACAACGATGCGGAACGATCCTACTAGTCGTTGTTGTCTTCGCCTACAGTTGTTTTCACGGCCAATAATGTTGCAGGTGTGGTACAGTATTTGATAATCGAATTAAAATCAGTAACTGGTACAAACGAAAGGAAGATGGGCGTGTGGCGTTCAATTGGACTCTTTCCTTTATAGCGGATGCCATTTCAAAAGGATAATTGAAAAAAAGGAGTGTATATCGATAAACGACCACAATTATTACGGTTTAGTTTCTTTAGACTTTGGTCGCTTGCTCTGCACAACATGATATGCTATTATATCTTAAACGGGTACAAAATTATTTTTTGCTGGTCGATACTGTCGTTTGCAGAATTATTATATCTTTATATGTTTTTTGTTTTATTATTTCTTTGGTCGTCTGCCCTTATAGTACTACGAATGTAAATTAAATTAACTTGCTCGAGCGTCTCTACAGTGGCATTGCTTTCATATGGCGTTTCTTAAGAAATTCACTTTATTTCTTTCCACTTATGCAATATGTTTCCTCGAAAACCATTACCAAAAATTAGCCAAGCTGTTCATAGTTTAAGCAATTTTCTAGTGAAAAGATTAAGATTGATTTTTAATCACTTCTAAACAAACTAACAATTATTTGTGCCGTCTCCAGAATTTTTTTTGCCTTGGTGGTGCGTTAAAAATATAACCAATAAAATTGTTTTTAATTTTGAATGATAATTATTGTATTCAAGTATAGATTGTATATATATTCTTAGAGGAAAACTTATAAAAATTTTTTTTACTAAAATAGATAAAGCTGATTGAAAATTGAACTGTTTTATCGCAGTATTGAAGATATAGAATTTCCAACATCTGTCCAAAGAGTAGTCTTATCCAATTTATGTAAAGTAGTTGATTAAAGTCCTTTAAATAATAAAGGACATGCTTCGTCATGGCAATCAACCAATTGAGTTGCGCATAGATTTTTTAGTGTTAAATGGTTAGTCTGCGGAAATAATTTATCTATTGAAGAATGTAAAATTATCTTTTTGGGTAATCAAAAATATTAAACATTAAATAGTATCATTACAGTTTCGTGACTTGAAGACTCTACTACTAACAGTTATAGCCAAAATTAAACATTGCAATATAAATAAAACGCACTAGGATTTTCATGGCGAGTAAATGTTTGTACGCTATTATATGTGTCATTTGAGACTGTCGCTTCGTTATACTCTTACCCAGTTAGACATGTCGTAGTCAGTACGAAATCGGCCATAATTTTGAATACATTCAACATCTGATAATCCTTTTGCTGACATATTTCGGATTTTGATAAATTGTAAAAATTCCTCTCGAATTTTATTTGCGTTTATGTCAACATAACGAGTACATAATATCATTTGTTCTTTGTTAGAAACATCTGTCATTTCATTAGCAAAAATGGTGAACAATTTAGCTTTATTTATGCTATCCACCAAATATTTTTAAATTAATTTATTAAAAACTGATTTTATCTTGTTTTGAATTAATGAACTTAAATAGATGGCCTTTTTTTTAGTAGTTTCTTAAAAACACTGTCACCAGTATAAATTCAAAATTCAATTAACTCTCTAAAGTTTTCCATTATATTTGTATGACCATATTCATTGAAATTAATAACATTCGTATCTTAACAAAATTGTTTGATTACTAAAAAACAAAATAGTTTTAATGATGATACGTTTTCTACTATCAATTATTTCTTATTTTTAATCTTCGTTTATCTGAATATCAAGTGATTGAATTTTTTTACTCGAATAGCATAAATATTATCAAATTCAATCTGATTATATTTTTAATAATGATCATTTTAGTGATTCATAAACTTTTTCAACTAATACCCCTGTATTCAAATGAAATACCTAATCCGTTTGATGGTAGTAAAAAAAATAAACGTTGAAAAAAAAACACCGTTTTGTATTTTGAGTAACGAAACTCATACGTATACTTTATTTGATACTTTAGGTACTTTTAACTACTTTTAGAAAATTTAAACTTGGATCACATACCCATGTATTTTTTCTTAAAATAACAGATGGAAATTAAGCTTATTTGGGTATTTTAGTATTTAAGCGTCAGCATTCACTGACAACTTAAATAACTTATGATTCAGTTAATATTTTTTATTTTTGTTTTTTTTAATAGTTAATATACTTGAGGGCTATAATAATATTTTAATTAATATCATTTTTATAATTAAATTTAAAAAATTTACAAAATAGCCATTTTTTAGAATTAATTTTTGGTAATTAATTTTCTGTAACATTTTATATTTCGTAAAAATTTGATTTTTTCTGTATTTATTCTACGGTATTAAACAAACGCTGGCTATGTTATATAAAAAATGACAGAATTAAACACCATCATTTCACATTAAATATATGAGTAAGGATTTTCCCATAAAAATTATTAACATTCAATGACCGTCTTTAGTTCAAATAAAAACACGAACAATACCTATTATTTAATAAGTAATTTTATATTACTTATCTCACTTTTTTTTGTCCTTGTCACAACACGCATTTCAATGTTAAATACCGTAAAAAAACACATGAAAATTCAAATGTTCACAAACTTTAAAATGATAAAGACTATTTACTACTGAATAAGATATTTTTTATATCAAAATTGTTCTTAAAATCTACTTTACAAAATAGCTATCTTGGATTTTATTTTTACATTTTATTTAAAATTTTTAAATAATTAATATTGTTAAAAAAAACAATCAGTAAAAAATATTAACTAGATCAAAAGTTATTTAAGTCGTCAGTGAATGCTATGCCATGCTGTGTATTCTATTTTAATTTTTTTTAAGTAAGTACCAAATAATAATGAAAAAAAAAATTAATTATTTATGACAAATGTAAAATATTTATAATAATAATAATTTACGTCAAAAGCGTAAAAAATAATAAAAATAGTTATAAATAACAATAAATCTTGCCTGTTATGTAATGTATTAAGAAGCTTTAAAAATATTAACTAAATTATTTGTATGTTTGCTACATTAAATTTCGGAAGTTCGAATTGCGCCGACGATAAAACGATTTTGATATGTTGAACGAGATCGTCATGTGATACTTTTTGACTTTTAACTTCTGAAGATGTCGAACAAAGTATTTAATTATGTTTTTTTTTTATTATTTGTTTATTTTAGTGATACAGAATAATAAATCACTAGCAGAAATCTGAAATTTCAGTTGTCGCTTGGTGTAAACAATAAAGACTGACTGTAATTTATATTGAAATTTCAATATAAACTATATTGTTATAAAAAGCTATTAAAATTCGAAATTGAACTAAAAATATATATGAAGTGCAGTTATATTTTTGATGTGAAGTTACTAATCGTTAATTTAATCTTATCTAAGATCTTATCGGTGAGCAATTTTTATTACTGAAAATTAATTTCGTCGATAAAAATAATAGTCAAACTTCAAGTCCAGTTTTTTCATTTGCTTATTTTTTAATTTTTGTTTTTATATTTTGTATATTTTTTTATTATTATTGTATATATTATTATATAACAAATTAATGATACGTTGTTTATAAATGTTTCATAATTGTTTATTGTTTATATTCACTTAAAAGAAAAAACCACCAAGATTTTTGTTATAAAATGTTATGTTAATCGAGTAAAAGTACCTACTCAAACAACTAATAGGAATGAGAAACAGTAAGTTTAGTTATTATTATTCATTACTGTAGACAAATAGAACAGTTGTAGTTCACACGAAGTGCAAACCAGACTGCAATTAATTATTTTTAGATTCTCTTGTGAGAGACATTTTTGCTTTGTCCCGAGTCCGTTCCACTTGTAAGTTGCGAAATAAAGTAGTACAGAGAAAAAGATAATTTTTAGAAAAACAGCCAGCAGAAGAATCTGGAAAACTAAACGTTGCTCGAGTAATTACTGTCTGAAGCGAAAATTAGTCCATTGGGATTTACAAAAAAATAGTTAAAAAAAAAAGAAGAAAAACTTGGAAGAGAAGAACGTACACTGACCGTCATTTCACCTGCCAAAGAGAAACGAAAAATGTTGCTCGTGAGTAAACAGTAGTTTTATTATTTTTTTGTAACAACTTGGACCGTAAATTAGATTTTTAGTTAAAAAAAAAATGGCCGTATAAATCTTCTTAAATTGGGACGAGACTGTATACTTCAACTAAACAATAACTTTTTTGACTTTTCTTAAAAAGTACTTCTGCATAGTAATCAAATATTTTTAAAAGTTTCTTTATAAAGAGGGAAATTCTGAAATAAAATGAATTAAAAATCATTCCATTATTCAAGGTTAATTACAAATAGTCTAAATAAGTTGAATCGTATAAAATAAATATTTAATTGCCTATTTAAATTTTACTTAAGCATAGTTGTAGCTTTGGATATAACAACATGGGTTAACAAACGGATTGCTCTTGCCAACCATAAATCATGGTTTGCATTAATCCAGGTCACTTGGGTTTATCTGAATTCCTTAGGGTGGAGATCGCCCAAAACTTTCTAGTTCCTGATTACATCTAATTCCGCATGTTAATTAACTCGTCAGAAACCATACTCCAGTAAATTTTATCAAAACTTTACTATTGAAAAAATAATATAAATTTATAGAGTTGTCTTTTTTGCTTTCGCATCTTTTAATTTAATAAATGTATAATACTTTATACATTACGCTCTCTAATATTTAATGTTAAATTATTTCTTTTGGCAAAGAGGCAGTGAATATCAATGTAGCCTAGCGCAACTGAATCAAATCCTATCCCTGTGCATGACCCACTCTTGCTATATATGTATATAGCTAAGTTATAACAAATCTAAATATCGTTGAATCAAAGGTGGACATCAATAATATTTGAAATAAAAAAGCAACTGAAATAAATAAAAGCCGTGTACATTTTTTAACGTGTATTAAAATTGGACGTTGCTGATAACAATTTTTAAGTCTCATAATGATTATCTAACTAATTTTCAGTTTTTTTTTTGTTTTATAGGT